TCTGTTTTCCAAGTCATCACATAGTGGACTGGAGATACCTGGTTCAGGTTACCAGATGGATTCCACGGCTGCAGTTTGGCTCTGAGGAGAAGACCTTTCTAGATCATGTGCATAAAACACCTTTATGGCTGAAATTCCCCCCACAAATGTAAGATGATTAAAATCCAGTGAGTTTGATCCCCACAAATCCATTTGTGAAATGGGTACTTATCCTACAGGAACTAGACTGAAACCATGACATTTCCCAAAGACACTAAGTAACATGGACTGTGAAACAGGCACATGGATTGGAGTAGTACTTGATGGAGCTTTGTAGGTTTTGTTTGGTTTTAGTTTTGGGTGTTTTTTTAATTAGAAAATTGTTCAATAGTATCCCTAAATTTTAAAAAATGAGTAAAATAACCCACACATGTCCCCTAACTGCCAATGGGCAGTTGTTCAGCAACCTGAGAAAGGAAAATAGAAGACTGAGTAGGAAGAGAAAATGAATCTCTTGAGCATGAGGTAGGGCAGGCAGAAGGAAAACTGCTGGAGAGCTGCTGTTGCCTCTGAGAAACCTGTGCTGTGCAGGCAAAGACCCCAGGGCGTGGGGGCTCTGGGTGTCACTGAGCCCATTCACTTGCTGATGCAGTGGGTCAGTGTCATCAGCTGGTGCTGAGGTGAAAGGTGCGAGGCAGAGCTAACAAAACTCCTCTCATAAGAAACTTTCTTTTCAGCCCCTGGTTGAGCAAACCCACACGAGGAGGATGTAAGGCTTCCGTGGTTTGATTGATTTAAGGTAGAATAGGTCAGTCAGATTCACAAGTCAGAGCACTGGATCTTTTCAGATAAATAGAGCCTGTAATTACAAGCCAGTTCCACAAGTTTAAGATTACTCACAGATCTAAAATTGTAACTGTATTGGCAAGCAAACAGCTACCAATATTTTCTTCTCCTATTTCATAAAAAGTATGGAATTTGAGTATTTTTGCTTTGTAACCAGAGATGTTTGCAAGGCATAAAGTACAAAGGTGGCTTTCTAAGTGCTCTGGAATAAAACCCCTCAAAAACTCTCAGAACTTTTGCTCAGACAAGTCTGTTTTAATAGGCATTATGTATAATTGCTTTGATAACCATATTAGTCCACCATCTTTATATTTTGAAGTATTCACTCTAGCTTTAATTTTATTAATGTATTTCTTTTATCTTTCATCTGAATAGTGTTCTGTATGTAAAGTGACCAAATGTGATTAATGATGAATAGATTAAGATGGGACAGGGTGTTTGAAAAATGACTTAAGTAGTGCATGTAAGTCACTGGCTATAGTCCCAAAATGCAAATTCTGGTTAAGTTAATGACTGGAAAATCATGATGGCACTATTGTATGAGTTCTGCTTTATTTGAAATTGCTTTATAAACAATAAATAATTAGCATTTTACATTGGGACTAGTTAATAGTCACACCCCTCATTATTTCTATAGGCGCTGGTATTTTATAGTCAAAAGTATAAATATAATTGACTTATATGATATAATGTTCTGCTGTCCAGAGTTTGTAACAGTTTTGCCTTGCAAATAGCATGCTGAAGTTCAGGTCCCATTAAAGGTTGGTCTTTTATTCTATTGCCTGGAATAACGTTGTTTGCAATAGGCATGTCTGGTCTTTCTGCAAAAAAGCTTCTGAACATCCTTTAGGTTGGGATTTCAGGAGGGGGAAATTTGTTAATATGTTCCCTCCTGCCTGACAAATGAGCATTATCGTCAATGTGGGTGCACATTTCCACTTATCCTTTTTGTAGCTGGAAAGCTTTATGAAAAATAAATTAATAATGCATACTAAATTATGTCTGCAAGAGACATTTATGTATATATTGCTAGCTTCAAGACTGATTAGATTTACATTTCTTTAAAAATGATTTTTTTCTTGCACATCCATAATGCCTTTAGAATGCACTGCATGATAGAAAAATGCAATCTTGATTTCAACAGAATACCTGGAAGGAGTGTTTTTTCCCCCTATTAATATGTACATGTGTTCCCCTAGAGTTTGAGTTATTTTTCCTAAAAGAGACTCTTCTCTTGAATTACCCCAGCCCAAATGTATGCCTTAGGATGCAAAAAGCAGCAAAGTGGATGTCCTATTATCATAACTTGAAAGAGGTCCATTTAATAATAGCCTGTATTAAACAAGAGTCTGCTAACTATACAGTAAAGAGTGTTTTTCACCAGAGAACATAACCCATATGTTTTAAATGCAGCTAAAAATGGATGCAGTGTGCTATTTCCTTTCACCTCAGCCTGCAGTGTATTACTTAGATTTGCAAGGCATAGCCACCACTAGTACTTAACACTGCTGAAAGAGCCACCCTTCAAGGCTTTTTTAACCGCAAAGAAAAGAGAAATATAGTAGCATCGATTGTTAAATCCTGGTGCTTGTTACTCACTGCCCGCACACAGAACATCATGCCTTTGTAGCAGTGAGGAGAGTTGGTATTTATCAGGGTTCAGAGCTAGTTCAGCCACACACTTGACAAATTATTTGTGGAATTGTTGTATTCACAGTCACTTAAATAAGAATCTGTCAACACAAGGCTGTGCTTTGTTGCAGCAGGTCTCACAGTTTTTCCTGCGCACTCAAAGAATGATGGATTGGAGGTAATGCAAATTCACTACCATTTTATATGCTGGTGCCTTCTTCATAGACAGGAAACATAGCTCAGTATCATCTTGTAAAATGCCTTAACTGTAAAGGCCTAGTTCAGTGTTGAAAGTGCTTTTTAAAAATGGTATGTTGGAACAGGGAAATGTAATTCAAATATTTTCCTCACGTCTCATTTTACAGACTGCTTGTTGGAGCAGGTGTGCGTTCAGATTTTCCCAGGCTAAGTAGGACATATGCTTATCTGTGCTTGGTAATTAAAACAAATTAATAAATACAATTATTTGATTTTTATGGCAGCTTAAAAGTTAATACTGCTTAAAGGGATGTTAAATTTCAAGAGCTCACGCAGAATTAAAAAAATGCTCATTTAGATAACTCAGTCTGCTTTGCTGATAGTAATTTTTTTTTTTTTAGGAAATTTATTTGTCCAACAAAAAATACCTATCTGAAAGCTCTAAAACCAGTTCCAAAAAGGTATAGTTCATAGCTAAAAACCACGATCCTTTGGCAGAATAGAGCTTACAATAAGAAGTAAAAAACCTTATCTATGCTGGCATATATTTTTAGGTTGATGTCCAAAACTGGAATGTTTTGCCCAGGACTAAAGGCAGCCACCAAATTCATGCCACCTTCTACTGCAGCAGAAGTCAGAGCTTTTCCTTGCCCTGCTCCCAGATGAGCTGGAACCATGGGGGAGTGCAGGAGCCCACCAGCAGCCTGGGACAGCTCTGGGGAGGGATGTCAGGAGCTGGAAGCAGCCCTTGAGGATGTCAAAATGAATAAGGAGAAGTGATAGCAAGCACTGGACGAGACTTTTCAGGAAAGTTCTCATTGCAGTGGAATAAATGGAGTTATGGGCTATTTAAGTTATATCTCTTTGCCTTTTATTTTGTGGCTGTTCAGGAAAACTGATCTTTCTGGACTAGGAAAAAGCTTGTCTGTGCAGGAGAGGGCTTTCTCAGAGTCTCATTTCAAGTGTAAGGAATGAACTTGCCAGAAGTTAAGGACAATCACAAATCTTACCTTGTACTGCCTCATGTTTGAGATGTGTTTCTTTGAGATAGGATAATAATGAGGGAATTCCACAATGTGCATATAAAAATGTTTTTTAAAAAAATCAACCCAACGTTTTTGAGAATGAACATATGACAAATATAATTCACTTGGCTCAATGCCCTAATGGGAGGCCCAGATCAATGTGCTGTTAAAACCTTTGTAGATTATAACGGGTCCTGGTGAAGTAGGTGAATATATTTGCATACACTTCAGGGGGGCCAGATTTTAACCCCAGATACTTTGAGCCTTAAGCTTCCAGCTTGATCTGAGCAGACACTGTAAATGTCAGGGCATGCTCAAGATGAAAGCATTTAGCTGATCTGCAAGTCAGGGCTGAAGGAGGCTGCTCTGGCACCTTGTTGTCTTCTTTCTGAGTGGTCTACTTTGACTTGATCAGATTTTGTCTGTTATAAAGTGTGTATTTCTTGAGAACTCTTAAACAGTATTAATTTGAATTTCATGTGTGTGAAGGGTGTGAACAGGTAGCTCTTCAGGGCAGAACCTCTGACCCCATTCATTCACCATCTGCAGGTGTCTCCACAGTGGTTATCTGCATTTAAAAAAGTATCTGAAAACGCTGAGATGACTTTATTTTATTAAGAAATGCCTGTATTACAGCATTGTGTATAAATTAATCTGCTCTTATTAGACTTGTAGAGACATAGGACCTACACTGATGTGGTGGTTTGGGACACTGTTGGAATGGTTGGCCATGACATCTTCATTATCCAGGCTCTCTTCAGCCTTGGGAAGGCGTCTGTTCAACAGAGCCCCTGCAAGGGCTGTGCTCTGCAGCCTCCCAGAGTATCCAGACTTCCACAGTATTTCCCCTAACAGCCTTTCAAAGCATTTGGAAGCTCGACTCAGTTTCAAAGACTACAGATTGACTTACAGTATGGGATATAGTATTTTCACTTGCGTCTAAAAACGCTGTTGCGTGGCCAAAAATTCAATTGCCAAGAAATCACACATGGTTCACAACACAGCTCTTTGATAACATTAAAAGTATATGTAATATTTTGAAATCACTGGCCAATTATTTCTAATAGTTTCATGATAATTTATGTAGAGAATCTCTCTGTTGGATGTGTTCCTGCTTTGGTCTAAATGTATTTTTGAACACTCTGTCAAACATCCCCATTTGGCACCTATTTTGTTTCACTGAATTTCTTTAGTATGTCCAGATCTCTTGCCAATGTATTTGTGGAACATATTTTGACAGTTTTGTCACCAAATTTGTTACTTCTTGTGTTTGGAATATGTATCAAATGGCGGATATTAATGTGTGCGTTTCCTTTTGGTATAGACTCAACTGGATAATACCTTTGTCTTCTGTGGTGGTGAATATAATAAAGTGAGTGATTTTTTTTTTATTAATTTCAAATGTTATTAAGATTTAAAAATTACAAATCTGTTATAGATGTATTGGTTTGTTTTTATGTTTGCAGCTAAAAGCATTCCTTAATATCCTTGAACTTTAAAGAGCTGTGATATTACATTCCTTACCCAAACTCTATAATAGAAATCATATGTATAAGAAGGCAGAAGCTTCTCCCTCACTGTGCACACACACTCATGTGTGTATATATAGATATATATGTATGTATAATTTTATTTCAATATGCTTGGATTAACTAAACTATTGAATTTCAATTTGTTGTGCTCTTCTATGAAATAGTCTTCCTATTGAGTTTGTTAGAGCTGAATGAAAAAGGTGTATTTAAGACTGATCATAATCTTTGCCATCATGTTTTTCTCCATATGGTATTCCTAGATTAAAAGGGATGACAAGATAATGCCTGTTGAAATATGAAGGTCTGCTTTGTGGCTCTGCTGCTGAGCTGGCCCACCCTGGGACATCACACCCAGCTGTGATGTTTCCAACCACACAAATCCCTGCTGTTCCCTTGCATGGTGGCTGCCCACAGTCCTGTGCCAGCTCATTTTCCATGGCCTGGCACAGCTGATGGTGCCTTTACCCTCTCTGGGTGTGTGCAGACCTGGAGAGCACCCTGGATCAGAAGGAATGAACTGGATATCCATCTTATTTTTCATATATTGTCCAGAGAAGTAGGCTGGAAAGATTTAACGAATTAGTCACCTTTGACAGCAGAGGGTAAAAGTGATATGGAGGATATACATTAGAATTCAGTTTAAATAGGGCTCACTGGTTGCCATAGTTCCTGATTATTTTTGCTCTGTTATGGATGGTTCAGTTGTTGGAAATACTTTTAGTCACCCTTAAAGGTAATCTCAGATGTGGGCTCTGTGCAGCTCTGGGTGACAGCACTTTCTCTGAAATGGCACGTTTCCCTGGGAACACCAGAACACCTGTGCCTGCTTCTAAGGGCTGCTTTTTGGGCCACATCCTAAGTTCTTTAAAAGATGCTCTTCAGTCAGCACAGAACTCTTTGATTTTTTACTGCTGGCAGATAGGTTGTTTACTGTGCTGAGTAACATGTATCAAATAGTAGATGAATCCTGAAACAGCTGGTTTTGTTGCTGATAGTATGTCTTCCTCATATTTTTTGAAATGTAAGGACTGGTTCTGAAATGTCAGCGGTCTTTCTGAATCGAGATCTATTGCCTTTTACAAAGATTTTATCAAAATTCACAAGTAGCAACAAAAGAAACATTATTTAGTGGAATTATGTTGCATAAAAATGCAACTGTGAATCTAAAATATCTGTAAAATAAAATCCAGATTAATTTTTTGAAAATAAGGTTTTATTTAAGGTCTTACAAAGAACATGGTATGTAATTTGAATGGAAAACATTCCCTTTACAGGTTAGGTTTTAATTCCAAAGCTGTGGTCCTATGCAATAATATATGATTTTTTCAGCAATTTCTTTCAGCTTATCTGGACAAGTTGAGATACAGACTACAATCAGGGCAGAGACACAGTCAGGGCATCAGAAGCTCTTCAAAAAGAAATTTTATTAAGATGACAAAATTAGGATGACTGTTCTGTGTCTGTACAAGATATAGCATATATTTACTGCATTTCTGGGTAAATTATTGCTCAGTTCTGAAGCCCAGTGTCAGCAAGGGCAGCAATCCTGTGCCAGCTGTTGCATTCTCCAGAGAAATAGGAGCAATAGGCCATAGAAATGTTCTGGTCATAACATACTTTTCTTGCCATTAGAGAAGAGAGTAACATAATAGGTGCTCTGCTAGTTTCATAATACCAAAGAATTTCCTACAAAATTGTAGAGTCCAGGGCAAGGTGTGGAATAAGTTAGAATTATACAGAACAGACTGACCTGCCATTGATTCAATTTGCCTTTTGGTTGGAAATTTTGCATCATAGAATATATATTTTTCTTGTCAGATTTGCTATGGACTTTCTTTGTTTCATTGGAATTCTGAATTTTTGCTACTTGGTTGAACTTTTTGGCACAGTGATAACACAATATAAATCAAATGCCCTGATCCAGACAAAGTAAATCATCAGCTTTTCTGCATAATTTTGTTTGAGTGTTAGTAGAAGACTAACTCTTCCAGACAACTTCTGACAGATTGCTAAATACACAAATAATTTGCTTATTAGAGGTGATATTTATCAAAAAACTCAGACTGTACTGGAATATATTTATGGTCATATGAAAAATGAAGTGACCTGTTGGAGACAGGCCTTAACTCCTGAGAAGCAATGAAATGCTTAGGAAGGTTCCATGAAGCACATGAGATTATTGTGTATATATAAGAAGTAATAATGTCATCTGTTTTTTTTCTGTTTCCTGTTGATTGACTTTTATAGCTTGCAAGCATTATGCTGGATTGTAAATTGCAATAAATTTAATCAAGAATTATTTTATTCAGCCTACTAATGAGGAATAATAGCGTATGTATCAATTAGACATGTCAATTTGTGTGAAGAAATAGATTTACAAAGGGATAGTAGGTAAAAAAAAATATCATTGGTATCAATTCACTTCATTATTTTTAATTTGCTGTGAATATTGAGTGCTTCCAACATAAAATCATTCCTCAATTAAAATAAAACAGCTGTACTCCTATCAGCTTTTCCTTGCTTGTTGTTGCTTACAGATTAGCAGTTGTCATTGGCTTCAGTCTCATGTAATTCCATTAATTTGCAACCGTAAATGGGTAAAAATAAGAAAGTAATAATAAAAATCTTTGGCTTGTCAATGTGCTAGGTATTGTATATGAATTATTTTTTTCAGATTGCACTGAAGGGGCAGAACTCCTGTAGCAGCAACATTTGGGGGACATTGGAACTGTGACAAACCCCCCTCGCTCTGTTCTCCAACGTCAGCGAAGCAACAGTACCTGTGAGCACTTTATCCATTTTGGCTCTTTTATTGCTCGAGATTCCCTTTCTTTCCTCCCAGGTGATCTGTAGTAAACCAGATCCCACCCATGTATTGCAGTGTAAATGGGAGGCACGAGTCCTGGATTGCACTGGTTCCTACCTGGTTTTGCTGTTGGATTTAATGAGTCCCTCCCATCCCTTTATTAGCAGGTCGAGGCTCTTATTTAGTTTTCCTTGATATCACAGAGCATGTTGTTGGTTTTGAGTGACACATGTAGCTCTGTGGTTGTCCTTATTTCTCTTCAAATAGATCAAAAGGCTGACAATAAGAGCACATTTATAGAGACAAGCATGAGAGTTGCAAAAGCTATTTCTGCAAGCCCAGATGTGAAAATGTAGTGCTTAATTTCTGTTTTTCTAGTAGTAAGTTCTTAATGGCCTTACAAGATTTTAAATTGGTCTATCTTACCTTGTTATCATCTAGCTATTATTTTAATGGAAAGTGTAAAAATATGTGTCTAAATGTATGGTATATAAGATGTTAAAAGTATGCAGGAAGAATCAATAATTGCATGTTTTATATTTTAATAGAAAATAATATTCTCTCAGATGACTCTGGCTTCAAGGAATGAAGGTAGGCTGCACATTTGATTTTTTTCTTTTTCCTGCAGCTGCTGTTGCAGGTTTTAATACCCTTGGATCCTACTGATGGAATGCATTTTGTCACGGTATATTTTTATTATTTTTTGTTACCAGTGAGAGCTTTTTGATAGAAACCCTAAAGGAGGACTCATGTCTGTAGGGAGACTGAACACATGGGATCTGAATCCTAGTTAACAGTGAATTCTCTATTACAAGAAGTAAAAGCTTATGAATATTTTCCTTGGCTCTGAAAGTGGAAGCTGACACTAGCTCGTATGGGAGAATTTTAACTAATGATTATTACAATGCTTATCTGCTAATTTGCTTCTCCATATTTGGAATCAGTATGCTTTATATGTGTGTGAAATTTTTGGAGCTCATGCTAAAATTTCAACTAGCCAAATACTTATCTGCATTTCATTATTATTGAAATAATTATAGTAATAAATAATAGTGAACACAATAACTGGGTTTTTTTATTAGTTCGCTGAGCTTAAGTGGATCATTGCATAACCTGATCACATCTTTATTTTTTTGATAAATCTGGAGTATTGTCATTTGACACTGAAGACTTCTTAGAAAAAAAGGCTATGTGAGTTTAATGCTGTGCCTTTGAATAGTTATCTATGTATTTCAAAACTAAATAAGAAATGTCGAAAACCATAGACACTCTGTACATATTGATAAGCCATTTGTAATCTATAACAGCATCTATACCAGACTTGAGCTGATTCATTTATCCCAGCTAATGTATCTGTGATGCCAAACTTCTTGGGTGATGTTTGGAGAAAGAACCTTCCCAGCTGTACAACAAGCATAAGAAAGCTTTCAAAATTGTGGGCGAAAAATGGCAAACAGGAAATTCATATTGCAGGCTTGAGTGCTGAATTTCTTAAATTGTAAATTATTATGAGATTGGGATACTGTTATTTACAAATAAACTTTGTTTTTATCAATTAATATCAACAGCCACTGTCAATCATTTTTGTATTTCCTGTTCATATGCTTGAATCTTTCTTAATGTTTTAAGTTGTCTGTGTTTTGTGTCTTTGTTAGTGTTGGAATTATGTTAAGCAGTATGGTTACCAGTTTAACAAATATGATCACTGCTTTTATAGACGTATTGAAAAATTGTTATTTTTAATCGGTGAAGTTATTGCTATTTGACATTTCAGAGCAACAAGTTAAACAAGTTAAAGAATGGCTCTGATGGGATGAGACCAAGGAGGAGGATGCAGCATCATTCACACATTGATCTCTCTGCTGAGCTCCTGCCTGAGAGCTCCAGTCTGGACAGTCTCCTGGGATGCTCCTGAAGATCCAGCTCCTGTAGTTCTGTGACTCTTTTCCATTCTCCTTCTGCAAAAATTCATTTCTGTTGTCCATCCTGATAGTCTCTGGTGCAGACTGGCAGCTGCCCACGTTACCAGGCCCCTGCCTAGCCCCCTTGGCACAAATCATAAAGCAAAACCTTAATTTTGTTGTTCAGTGGAGAACCACCACCAACCATAAACTCACGTATTATTCAGCTAGAGAACTGATGCTTCTGTTACCAGACTATTGTAGCAGCTGAACTTCAAACTTACAATATTATAACATTCCCAATATGTAAGTTGGCTTAATGGAATAAGGAACCAAATAATCATAAAAAGAGGGAAAAAGTATTTTATTTCTTTTTTTAGGCCCTTGAAACAAACTCACCATCCTCTTTCCTGCAGTAGGCAGTGTTCTTCAAATCACAAGCAGATCATTTAAAACCAAGGTTGAATTTAATTTTATCAACCATGAGTCTTACAAAGTACTTTCCCTGTTTGAACATTATTTTTCTGTGTGAAACTATGACTGAGTTTACAGGCTTAGCAAGACCTTCAGTGACTTGCTTTATACAGCCATTCAATATTGCCCTACACACCAATAATGCTTTAGTGTAATAAAATACATGTCTTTCCCTCTTTACTAGAAGTTATAGAGAAGTCTTCTGATCATCCAGCTATGAAAAGCACCATGACTGGTTCTGCCCAGAAGCTGCATGAATACATGTGGAGCAGAAAAGTTGCTCTTTATAGCCAGCTGTAAAATTCTTTCAACCCTTATGAACGTTCAAGCCTGAGAAGGCTTTTCTCACCAAGATATAGATTAGTTTCAGCATACCAGCCTTCAGCAGTTTGTGTGAGTCAAGATTTCACTCCAAGCCTACACTTTACTGGTGAAACTCAAAGTCAGCCAGCCCATTTCAAGAAGAAAAATGCTATTTGGTTCCAGTAAGCTACCACAGAACACGCTCCAGATTTGACAAACGTTGTAATTAGTTGCTTTTGTGTGTTTAGTACACAGTGCAAATGCTGTAAAATGTTTTTCACATGATGCAACATTGCCAGCAGATAATCACTGAAGCAGTAAACCAAAAGAATTTGTGTATATCCTACAAGCTGCAGGAGGATAAGAAAATGTAAACAAAAACTAACAGCTGAATTTTTCAGATGATACCATTCCTTTTCTTTTGTTAAACTGATGTGGTTTTAAATGTTACTTTTTGTGAGTTTCCCTAGAAATTGATTAGAAAACCCTAAACCAATGTTGTGAACGTGCTTTTGTTTCTGTCCTGGTTTTGACTGTGTGAATCGTTTTAGAACATTTTCAGTTTAATTATGCAGCACTAAAAATTGCAATTAAACTGAATTTGCAATTGAAACTGCTCATTTTAGTTAACTGTCAAATTTACTATGGCATTGTGAAATAGGGGCCTTTATTATTATGAGGTGTTTTGAAAAAAATGACTTTTTAAACAGGAGAAAAATGTCATATCCCTCAGTCCTATCACAATGAGCCAACAATTTAAAGAGATACCCAACCAGTGAAGCTGGTAACTCTCTAAGCACAATGGAGCTTGTTCCAGGTGATGTCTTAAATTATTGATATCCTGCAAGTACAGATGGTATTGAATAAAGTCTCTTTTTTTGGTGTATTTAATCTCTTTTGTGAAATGTGTTTTTCAAATGTAGGTGGAAAGCTAAAGTTGCTTTAAAATAGTTTTGTGATAACCTACTCATCTTAGGGATATCTGACATGCCCTGTTTTGCACGATGCTATGATGCAATTTGATGGATATTGTGTATTATATGAGACTGCACAAATCTTAATATCTCTGTTCCTCTGTTTTAGCATGTGATGTACAGCTCTGTGTACATAGAGCATCTCAGACTAGTGTCTGAGACTACCCTTTTCCTCTAAGCCCTAGGCATTTTTATCACTGTGCCAATAAAAGGAAAGGGATTTATGGGGTACTGCTTTTTAATTCATTCAATTCTCTGTTCATTGTGAGGTTAATGTTGTTGATCTATTTTTCTCTTGAAACAAATAAAAACAATATGTGCTGACACTGACTTTGACTTTTGACATGGGATATAGAGGTCAACATTTAATTCTATATTTATAGACTACATGAACAATATTATCTGTATTAAAAACTGTTCACTCAGTCCTTGTCATTTTACAACTTAGTTCAGTGGCTTATATCACATTGAATGTTTTCCCCAACTCTGATCAAGGTGCCATCATTCACAGCACTACACTTAAGGGGTTGTCAGCCTTTCCATTAAAAACACCTTTTTTCAGGGATTCATAACTTCACTAGCTAAAAAAATTATACCAAGACTGACCTGGGGCTTTATTTTGAACAAATTTTATATAAAAATATACCCCAAATCCACAACCCAAAACACCAGCAAAGAACCCAAATAAAATTAGGAGCTGACTAGTTTGGCACACGTGCAATGACCATTTTTATTTCAGGAAATAATGTGATTTATCAAAGTAGGTATAACACCGCCTAAATGTTTATCCATTGCTTTCTTTCTGAAATATTCTTGGCTGTTTATATGTGTAAGAGGCTCTTGTCTGTCCACTTTTGGATGCCTCATGCCCAAACTACTCAGAAATTGGGTACCAGTAACACGGTTAACGCCGTGATTATTGTAATGAGTGTGTGTGGTGCAGCTGTACCTGTGTAAGGGCTGTCATCTGTAAGTGTTCTTTGTTTTATTCCTGTTTGCAGGATAAAGGCCCATGGTGTACCTTATATTCAGCAAAGAAATTGAATTATCAATGCAATTATTGTTAACCTTTATTTGTTTTCAGAGATTATCCATTCCGCTTTGAGTCAATGGCAAGGAATTTGAGATTCGAGTTTGTCTTCCATTGCAAACAGCCAGTAGTATTTTCCACAGGTTACCTTTTCCACCTAAATATGTATTTCCATGGTAGTATTAAGAGCGAACAAAATGGAATAACCCATACAGTTTAATCTATGTGTTTTTAAAATATCTTAGCATGTACCATATTTATGTTGAAAAAACCCCTAAAATAGCTTTTGCAATCTGTAAGTTTTTGAAATATGTGAAGTTTTATCCTAATATGCACATACAGTGGTCCAAACTAACAGCCAAGGGGTTTTTTTTAAGGGTTATAGAAATTAATATTAATTTTTAAAGTGTTCCCTAATTCACGTATCGTTCTTGGAAAGCAAAGAATCTGCCACATTTTGTATGTGACTGTCTTAATAAGGGCTGTGAAACTGGAACATTGATGGATCATGTTACATACCAGGCATCTCTGAAAAGTTTTTCATTAAAATGAACTCGTAAAGACTCTTAGTGCTTGCTTCTCAGCAGATGGCAAGAGGTGTTTATTTGCCTTATGGAATTCTTTCTGTTTATATACAGAGAAATGGAGAGGACAACTCTGAAGGATCTGGTTAGTACTTGTAGGACTATTCAAAATAGATCATTACTATTAGCATTAAAAGCGTACAGGAGGTTCAGTTACACACTCTTTTTCTAACCAGGTCTACCTTGGCATTGAAACTGCTCCAAAGATTGGACTTTGCAAAAAAAGTTCCTGCTGTGGAACTCTGTGTGATGGAGAGTTTAGTGTAGGGGCTTTTTTTAATAATCAAATATTTTCTTTTCCATTCTGTTTCTTTCTTTCCTTCTCTCTGCCTGATTCACTGTTAAATAGCTCCTGCTCTATTTCTGGCACTTTTGAACTTTATTTCTCTTTCCTTACTTCTCTTTCCTTGTCCTTTTTCCTTCCATCTGTTTGCTGCTTTCATTGTCTCTTAGCTGCCGTTCCCCATTATTATATCCTTCAATCTGCAAATCCTCTCCCATATGTGCTCTTGTCCTTCCCTAGGCCTCCTGCCTTTTGATTTTTTCCAGATCTCATTTCCTTTTCACCTGATCTGGCTTTATTCAACTCTGCTCTTGTCTATCTTTCAGCCTGTCTCAGGCCTCCCTTTTTCCTTCTGTCCAGTTGTGAATCCATAAACTAAACAAGACTTTGGCAGAAGAAGTCAACAAATGTGGTGTTCAGACCAGAACTTGACAGCTGGAAAAGGAAAAGGGGGATGCAAAAGCCAAACTTTTGATTAGACTGGTGTGAATACTTTTTAATGAACAAAACATTC